CAGCACTAAAATGTCGACATAAAATTTGCATATACTGCAACAGTTAGTGAAATGAATGAGGAGCATGAAGTTTATTGTGAGTACGGACATTAAACTCATTGGCCATAATGAAAAAAAAAAGACACAATACACACATGAAAATGTGTACTTATAATCGAAATTGTTTGAAAAACTTGAAGTCTCGCAAATAATATACCGGCTAGATTTAGTGGTAATTGTACAAAAAATTACCGAGCAACCTACTGATTGCACATGTTTTTCCCAAAATCCGGTTATTGATAATGAGGAGATACATTCTCTCGTGGTGGTTGAAAATGAAAATCTTACGTTATTTGCTAAATCTGGTAGCAAATGAAGAAATAAAAAATGTGTTTCTTGAATATAGTGATCACTTAATACGTGATACTTGACATTTAATAATGACGTCTATATGAAATCCATGAAGGATTCAATAGAGACATGGTCCTTATTCTCGAGAAATTAATTCAAAAGACTTGCACAAGTTATTGTGTTTTCATGTGTCTAGATAAATATTTTGGTTCATATTTTTTGAATATAATAGATATAATTGTTTATGCACTTGTTTATATATTTGGATATATCATGCTTGTCTATCATGTTGTTCCTGTGATTTTCTCTGAGCTTATCTGATCATGTTCGCATGATAAACTTTTGAGATGTTTTGTAATTTGGTTAGTAACAAATTCTTAAAGAGTTTCAAAAGACTGAATATTATCGAAATTTTTCATGAAGTTCGATAGCCTGAATATCATTAAAACTCCTGAAGAGTTATATCATTGTTATTAATACTTCTAAGTTCATAAGGATGCTACTTGCCTTAAGCAAGAATAATGAAAGATGTTGAGTAGAATCTCGGTTTAAATAGTTTGACCTTATTATTATATATTCAAAACCTGTTGAGCGCACTTGATTAAAATCTTGATGTGCATATAGATCCTTCTTCTTGACTTTCTATTAATGATGTAGACCGATATGGTCCTGAAGTACCATATAAAGTTTCGGTTTATCTAATCAATTAGTCAAGACTTAGATGTTGTATATTGGTATCTTCAAGGTATGATTTTCATGCATCTCCATTATTAGAAAGCACTCAAGATTACATATGGTATATGAAGATTACACATGGTATATGAAGATGATCGTCAACATGAGAAGCTGGGGTGACTATTTAGAAATTATCTGCGATCAATTTCCACAGTGCCGAAACTAGTCAACATCTTCGCGCGCGACGAGAAGCTCACAAGTGATGTACTCAACAGCGGGAGTAATCCCACGCTGTACTCTTTTTCCTATGATCGATGTTTTGTCCCAATGGGTTTTCCTGACAAGGTTTTTGACGAGCTAACGTTGCATTCGGAAGTGTACTATTTTTCCTTCACTAGGGTTTTATCCCAAAGAGTTTTTTTTAGGTGAACCCGGACGGTACATGGCGGGCATCCCCCCGATTTTGTTGATAATAAAAAATAGAAGTACACAGGTAGTGATTAAGACTTACCCAAATCATATATTTTCCATAACACTCTCCCTTTGATTCAAAGGGAGAGTATTATGGAAAATATATGATTTGATTGAATGTCCACATTAATATGTATTGTTTTATTCACAATCAAGGAGATATGATTTTGTAATATCTAGCAACGATGGACATTCAAAGGGAGAGTGTTATGGAAAATATATGATTTGATTGAATGTCCACATTAATATGTATTGTTTTATTCACAATCAAGGAGATATGATTTTGTAATATCTAGCATTAAAGATAGGTAATTTATTTCTCATAGTTTGATATTCTACTTCTTGTATAAATAGAGAGCGCATTCATGTTTCAAAACACATCTGAATACAAGTGAAATCTCTTGTTCCTCTCCCTCTATTATCTCATCTCTCCGTCTTGTTCTTAAGCTTAATTTGATATTACTAGTTTAGAATTGATTTTATAACAGAAACTAAATATTAGCTAGTAAGAATAGAACTTTTCATTTTCTGAGAGGGGGCTTTCATTCCCCGCCCACCATTAATCAAATTTAGGACCTGATGTAAACGTATCATCTTTAAAAATCAATTGTGGTTTACCTTTACATTAATCGTCAAAGCTAATTTGTATATGAATATACATGTTAGTACTCCTACAAGTTTTACTGATATGAATGTACATGTTAGTACATAAGTTTATTCTTGAAGAAATAAACAAGTTTCCTTGAACACATGATTTAGTGATTTTAATTTGTGGGCATATAGTATGCAAAGATGAACATTCAAGGTAGCGGTAGCTCAGTAGCAGCAACAAAAATTGAAGGCTTAATTATTGACAAAGACGTAGATAACGATGCTACTCAAACATCAAATCTAACTCTGGGTTTGGGAGATATTGAATCGGTAACACATGATGGCCGCTACCAAGTCTCAACTCTAGGAAACTAGCCCCCTAAATCCGGATGGTGCTTATTGATCATTTTATTAGTACTACAACAAAATGGAGATAATAGGACTCATTTTTGTGCACTAATAAGTAGCTTAATAAGACACTTTTTTTCCTCTCTTTTTTTCAAAAAAATCTAGGGCGGTACCCGGCGGGAGGACTTCGATTTTATTAATCTTAAAAAAAAAAGATATAGATGAAAGTGCTTAAGACTTACCCAAAACAAAAAGAAACCGTCTTATAAAAGTTTTCCTAAAAAACTCCATGACGGTTCTGATGCATATTACCTCAAAGAAACTGTCTGACAAAGATCCCCTAGAATCTCTTGATAGTTCTTTTTTTAAAGCTCTAACAAAACTCTTAGCTAAGAAAGTCTTACAAAGATTACATAGAATCTCGTGATAAATTTTATTTCTAAAATAAAAAGGAAATATACAAATTTCTATCTATTAAAATAGAAACCTATATGTTCTTACCTCTAACGAATTCTAAGATATGGAAAAGGCATTTGATCTAAAGTCAATTTACCTCGTATAGAAGTTGGTAAATCTTCAAAATTATGTTGAATTGTTTGACCTTGAGCGGTTGTCTCGCTAGTCCATTTGCTACGCTATTCACCTCCCGAAAAATATGTATAATCCTTGATCATGTAGATCTTAGTATTTATTGAATTTCTTTTAGCTTTGCATGGTATCGGCAAAGAGTTTTCCACGAAGGAGATCGGTTATAGTCTTACTTTACCAACATTATGTTCTTCACAAACCCTTAAACCATTTAATATTCCTTCCATCTCCGCTTCGTGGCTGTTTGATTCTCCAATATGTTTGCATTCCGCTCAAGTAAAAATTCCTCCTTCTCCTCGTATCACATATCCTCAACCAGCTTAATTTGATCCATAGATCTTAGTATTCGTTGAATTTCTTTTAGCTTTGCATGGTATCGCCAAAGAGTTTTCTACGAAAGAGATCGGTTATAGTCTTATCTTTGTCTACACTGTTACTTTACCGACATTATGTTCTTCGCAAGCCCTTAAACCATTTAATATTCCTTCCATCTCCGTTTGCAGGCTATTCGATTCTCCAATATGTTTGCATTCCGCTCGAATAAAAATTCTTCCTTCTCCTCATATCACATATCCTCAGCCAGCTTCCCCCGATTATCTCAATGCTGATCCATCAATGTTTGATATTTTCTCTCTAGGATCCGGCGGAATCTAGCTTAGTGCAACAATTTTCTTCTTTTTGGGTCCCAAGGTCTTAGTGTGAAAGATTTCTTCCAACTCTTTTTGCTCAATTGTGGACTTTGCTCTTGGCTCATGTTCACTTAACAATCTCAAAATAAGTGAGTTTTAACCTCACTTATTACCATGTTACAAGAAAAAACCTTACTTTCATAAATCATTTTATTTCGGCTTTTTCAAATTTCTCACGATAAGTATGCTGGAATCACCTTTATCACAGCTTTTTTTGCATAGTTGAAATTACAAAGTTAGTACGAGTGTTGCAAGACTATCTATGTCTCTGCATCATATGTACGTTCATCTCACCATCTATTTCATCTTCACAACGTTTATCTCTTGTTTAGTATTTGATAAATTAATCTTTTTAATCATACTAGTCAATAGATGTGAGACTCAACGATAATATGAGTATCATTATTGCAATAATAAGTAAAATTTTGTTATTTTTAGTATTTTTCATTAAAAATTAATCAGAATCAAAGTAAAATTGTATACAATTAAAAATACCATTGTCAAACAAGAATTGCGACGAACTGAAATGAAACCGAAACCGGCAATACATAAAACCTTCTTTAAACTAGGGGTACTATTAGGGGCTATCGCCTCCCCCTCCTTGCTGGAATTGTTTTGAATAGATCCCTTTAAAATTTTAGTCTAAATTTCTAATTTTTTATATTTTCACCCATGTTAAATATTTTTGTACATTTTTGACCCTCCATTCTACAAATCCTAGTTTCGCGCCACTGTATAAAAAGTACGGTTTTGTTTCCATCTTTTCATAAACTATGAATCGTATCTAGCGGATGAATCTAAAGCTAAGTTGCCAACTATGCATATTTATTGTATGAAAAATGGAAAAGATTTATAATAAATTGCTACAAGTAGATTGATCTAGTAATATGATATGAAAAGAGAAACTATCGGGTTGTTTGTACGGAATGGAATTTCCGATGTCGTAATTATTCATTGTCTTATCTTATACTTATAACTTGTAAATTAATATAACGACGTAATTTGTACGGATTACAAATTCACTCCAGAAACTATTACAAAATGAACTGAATGTTGACTACTTGCAGATTAATAGCCTACAACAATTAATTGCACACAAATTTTCTATAACAACAAAAGGGAGGATTAATCTATCAAGTAACATAGTTCGCAGAACCTATGCATATTATATTTCCTAAAGGGTGAAACATTAAAACTATTGTGTAATGCATTGTTATTATTATTTCAGTGATTTACATGAATTAACCAATTCTTCCTATACTGGGCCAAATACTAATAATATTTTTTCCCCTTTTCAGAAAAAATAAATAAATAAATGCAGCATTCCTTTGCTTTCTCACCTCATAGATGATTTCAGTACTATAAATATTAGTTCTCCCGGTTCGCGGTTCACGATTTCACCCTTTTCACTTTCCCTCCCTATTTCAGCTCGCAACCCAAAAAAGAGGGAAAATCCAAAAGCCCCTAAAGAGAATAATCAAAAACCAGAAAACCCCCCCAAAAAAAGAGGAATAAAAAAAGAAAAAAACCCTAAATTCAGTGAAATTCAAGGTCAAATCAAAGGTACTGAATCTTTACCTTTTTCTCTCCCCAAATACGAATTTCTTGCTTATTTCTTCGACTGATCGTTGTTGATTTTACGGTTTTTTTTATCAATTATTTTTATTGTTATTATTATTTTGTGAGGAGGAACCGGTGTTTTTGCTGCTTCTTATATGTTGAATTGAATGCAATGGAGTTCTGCTCACAGTCCGAATATATATATATTTTTTGGTTTTTGAAGTTTTGGGAAAATGCGAAATACTCGGCCATCAACGAGGAGCAAAAACAAACGGAGTAGAGCTGAGGAGAATGCTGAAGCCACAGCTGAAGCTTTCAGGTACATTGTCTTTTTTTTGGTTTCTTAAAGTTCGAATTTTGTTGTTGATTCTAGTTGAATTTTTGTTTACTTCATCAATCTTGCTCCTGGTGGATTACGTGTTTGATTAACATGTTTGGGTCCGACTTTCTGGAAAAGTTTCAATTTGAATCAGTGAGCTAATTTGTTAGTTGGACATAATGTACATTGTGAAGTCTCTTAATGTCTACTTATTTGTTCAACAGGAGAATTCTTTCAACAAAAACCCCTAATGAGGATGACATACACCAGTTGTACATGTTGTGGAAGCCAGTTTGTCAGGGTTGTCGTGTAAACACCAAGGATAATCCGAATTGCTTTTGTGGGTTAGTTCCGGCCCCAAATGGCAGTAGAAAATCAGGATTATGGCAGAAAACATCTGAGATTCTACATTCTCTCGGTTTCGACCCGTCTGAGGACCTTCGTAAACCTCATTCACCGGCAGGCCTGACCAATTTGGGAGCCACATGCTATGCTAATAGCATTCTGCAATGCCTTTACATGAATAAGTCATTCCGGGAAGGTGTCTTCTTAGTTGAACCAGAAGTTTTGAAAGAGCAACCTGTCCTAGATCGACTGGCCCGTCTTTTCGCGCAACTGCATTCTAGTAAAAAGGCCTTTGTTGATTCAGCTCCATTTATTCAAACACTTGAGCTTGATAATGCTGTTCAGCAAGATAGCCATGAGTTCCTCACGTTGCTTTTCTCTCTGCTAGAGCGGTGTTTGAGCCAATCTAAAGTTCCAAAGGCAAGAACAATTGTTCAAGATCTTTTTCGTGGAGGTGTATCGCATGTTACCACGTAAGTCCATGTTGATTTTATCAAAGAAACGATTATTACTGAAGTTATTGACGCTATGAATTGTTGTATGGTTTACCTTTGCTGCAGAGCTAAGTTTCTACTGGTCAATCTTGTTAATTATCTGTTGAACCAGAAGCTTTTATAATCACTGAGGGTCAATCTTGTTAATTATCTGTTGAACCAGAAGCTTTTATAATCACCGAGGGATTAGCAATCTGTTTTCCTTGTCTAGAGCTTGTTTGCTATTGTACTTTTTAATGGATGCATGCTCCCATCTTTGTCGCATGTAAGAGCTAGTGGAAACCGAATCATAAATGAAATGTTTAACTACTTATCCATCGAGTATGCCATTTATACAGAATTTAATTGCAGCTTCTCCAAATTGGTGTACATTATATGCTAGCAGCCTTTTTTTTGAATCTGACAAACAGACTTTTATAGATTTTCAAAATGGATTGGCTACTTTATTGTTGCTCATTGTCTGTGGTTGTTATACTTCTTGAGATGATGGCAGCAAAAAATTTGCTTGTAGTTGCAAACTTTTCTCGAATATCTTATAGAATTGTTTTTTTCTCTGGGGTAAAAATCTTATAGAATTGTTGTGAATGTAGAACGTGAAGGTACCTGGCTCTCTTTTGGAAGTAAGCATGCAACTTTATTCATCCTTCTATTTCTGATTTCTTCTATATTGTAGATGCTCCAAATGTGGAAATGAGTCTGGAGCCTCTTCAAAAATTGAGGATTTCTATGAGTTGGAGTTGAATGTAAAGGGGATGAAGACTTTAGATGAGAGTTTAGATGATTACCTTAGCACAGAGGAACTTCAAGGAGACAACCAGTACTATTGTGGTGCATGTGCAACTCGGGTTAATGCTTCTCGTAGAATTAAGTTGCGGTCCCTGCCTGATGTCCTCAATATCCAGCTCAAGCGTTGTGTTTTCCTTCCAAATGTACGGAAAGATTTTTTTTATTTCTTCAAACTTTATTCCCTTTTCTGGCTATCTTTAACCGGTTTGATTGCAAAATGTTTGCATTATTGTTCTCTAATCCTCTCTGATGCACTCAAGCAAAATTTGGAGCTTCATGCTCTTGATCCGTCCGGTGCTTTTATCATTTGCTTAAACAGATCACTCCTTCCTGAAATTCATGAAATAAGCAGGCAGAAGAAAGTATTGTCCTAACAAGAAAAAATTTAAAATGATTTAAAATCAAAAGATCTGATAATTATGTTGAATTGTGGAAAGCATTTGTTAAATGAATACAATATTGGAGATATTTTTTCCCCCTATTTGCGGATTACTGATTATGGTTGTGGTTAATTGTACAGGATTTCTCATGCTATGCATTTGTGACTACGATTACCACTCATTGTTGCTTTTATTCTGGAAATTACTTTTTTGAAATTTCTTCGACATTTGTGTTCCCTTTTATGATTATTTTTCTGTCTTCACTTCTGGTGATCAAGAAGTCTGGTTTTCTGCATTTCCCTGATAGAGGGATATCTTTCCTGAGTGACATCATGCTTACATGTGTTCTTCCTGTATGTAAATTTTGAGTCTAGTGTGTGTGTGTATTGTGTGTGTGTGTGTGTGTGTGTGTGTGTGAGAGAGAGAGAGAGAGAGAGAAGGGCCCAAGAGAGCGAGGCCAAGGGAAGAGAGATGGAATTCTTAGGTGTGGGCTTCTGACCAGTTGGGATGTTGCCCGTTGCCTTTCTGTGTGAGATGCTTAAAATCTTTAGATCTGTATCTTGGGCTTTAGCTCTTGATTATTGGATTATTGTGATCCTTTGCCCTCTGAACCAGATTCCTGAACTGAATTGTAGGATCTCTGTCCCCATCTCTTTTACTGTTATAAATTATCTTCTGTATGGAGTATCTTTACAAAAGGAATTGAATGTGCTCCAGTACCATTGGAATTGACACTCACAGTTAAATTAACTTTGAAATGTGAATTATTTCATTTTATTTTTTTGTTTACGTTTAAGTGATCTTGCTCTTATCTAACTTTGCAGACCACAACGAAGAAAAAGATTACATCTGCGTTTTGTTTTCCTGAGGAATTGAATATGACATGTAGGTTGTCTGCTGGTTCTCGTTCAGATTCGATCTACAACTTGTCAGCTGTATTAATACACAAAGGCCCTGCTGTAAATAGTGGTCACTACATAGCACATGTTAAGGATGAGAGCACTGGGCGGTGGTGGGAATTTGATGATGAAGTAGTCTCAGATTTAGGTCAAGAGCCATTTGGCGGTGATTCTTCCAAGCCTTCTTCAGCTGTATCAATTGAACCTTCATCGTCTACCTTAAAAGGAGATATTGTTGATGGAGATCAGACAAAAGCAGTTCCACAATCAGACCTTGTTAACATTAGCCACGTAAAAACATTCTCTTCCTGTGATGCATATATGTTGATGTATACTCGTAGGTGTGCAGATAGTGGTCGTAAAAGAAAGCCTGAAAAATGTAATGGAGATAAAATGGAAAAAATGTTACACATGCCAGGTGAACAACGTGGAACTTCTCTTCCACATCATCTTTTGGAAGAGGTTGAAGAAATGAACGAAGTGTACCTTGATTCTTGTGAGCAGTATAAATTAAAAAAGGAATCTGAGATTAACCACATAACAGAACGTCGGCAGGAGGTTAGGTCAATTCTTTCTGAAGCCCCAGTTCAATCAGTTGATAAGCAGTACTTCTGGATTTCAGCTGAGTGGCTTCGTCAGTGGGCTGACAGCATTATCTCATCGTAAGCTCTTTGTGTGACTTCTTCGTTGCTGTTTTGATTTACAATGTGCTTTTGAAATTTTATGTGTATTTATGTTACTGGACCTCCCTGTTACTGGATAAAGTACTGAAATATTGTATGTCCTCCCCGTTACTGGGATAAAATGCTGAAATATTGTATGTCTGGAAATGGCATTATGTATTTACCCTTAGAGATCTCATTGAAATTTTAATTTGGTGAAGTAATATGGATAGCAACAATTCTATTTAGTAGTTTGTGGTGCCTAATTGATATTTCCTTTTTTCCAGGGCTATTGACAACCATCCAATCCAATGCTCACACGGGAAAGTTTCTGTTTCAAAAGTTAGCTCCATGAAACGGATCTCAGCTGAAGCGTGGACTATGCTAATATCGAAGGTACACTTTCTGCCTCGTGTTATCTTTTGCCTAACGAATAAATCGGGTGTTCTATGGGCAAGGGCTTCCGTTGTCTTTTGCCTGAAAAGTCTTATTTTGTCAGATATTTCTGTTATGTATTGTGTTTTCCCTGAAAAGTTCTGCCTACATAAAGGTTTGTGTACATGTGTTGTAAGATTAATCGGTATATGCTAGTTTAAAGCCAATCAAGCTGTGCTTGTCCTTTGGTTGGAGGGATCCTATATTTGCTAGACCTGGAGATTGAGGAACTTCAGCTAGATGGAGACATTAGAAATTTCAGTTATTCACTTAGAACTTCTGTTTTATTGGTGAAAATCGCTCTGTGATGAAATTATTGGTGCAAAATTGCTCTGGGTAAAATTAGGAATTGTAACCATGTTAGAAAACACTGTCAACACTGAGTATAGGTATGAGTAAATCCTAACCCATAGAGAGTATTAGAATTGAAGAACTGTGGTGGGTACATGCAGTTTCCTGGAACAATTCAACTTGTGTTGATGGATTCATGCCCCTTCAAACACTCAGTGTTGGACCAATTTAAGAAATTGATACACTTTTACAATTTGGAAGTAAGAAATTTTTAAAAAATCTCAAATTTCTGTTTGGAGCTCTGTGAAAACGAGCTGAAGAAGAAAATTTAAGGTCTAGTTCCAAGTAAAGTTTGCTTGGCTGGAGATATGCTTTTTCTTTAAAAAAAAAAATGCTGTGAAAGCTATTTCTGACTGTTACCCTCTTCAGTTGAGATTTTCCTGCTATCCTTTTTGTTAAACGATACTACTTTTCTTTTCTCTCATAATTAAGATGACTATCATGGAACATGTCACTAGATTGATGGTGAAGCTTTCAAAACTCCTAGTTCAAATCTTCTTGCCTAAATTTTTATTGAAAAGTGATCTAAAACTCTAATAGAAAAAATAATAGATTGGAGTCCTGGCTCTTCTGAATAATTGTGGTCAATAGATGAAATAACCAAAAGTAATCAGCATCCAGGCCTTAGGGATGATTCACAAACTTATTTTGCTATAATTTTGCCGTTTTGGTGGCTGTCCTGGTGCAATTTTCTACTGCATGCCAAATTCTACATCTCAACGCTGAATGATATATTTTTTGTTTTAGTTTAATATTTTTGAGCAGTATTTATGCCTGGTGATCGTATCTTTTTCACTTTGGTTGTTTCTTGTAATGAGTTTTATTTCAGATAATCTCAACTTCACTAAATCTGGTTGAATCCTTTTCATTTGCTATTCTTTCATTGTGTGCTTATTGACATTTGTCCTTCCCAAAATCTTTCTTTTAGCTATTGTTGATCTTTGTTGATGCTTGTGACTGCAGTATGACGGGGGCCCTACACTTGGTAAGGATGACTGGTGCAATGATTGCCTGTTGGAAGTAGCTCGTACTATGGCCAGTGCAGATAACTACAGAGATGAAAGAATCTTGATGAAAGATATTGCTGAGGCCGCACTTGCTGGGAAAATCAAGGATGGGAAATTGTATTATGTGTCCAAGTCATGGTGAGACACTATGCATAAATGTGATATTGGAAAATCTTTTCCCCAGTTTAGGCTATCATCATTAAGTAGCTCTTGGTTTGCTGATTTTTTAGTCTATTTATTACCAAAGGCTGCTCCTGATAGTGTGAAATCATTTTGTGCAAATTGCATAATACTTTTCCCATGTGACTGTTTATCATTTTGTTGGAAACCTATAATGTGATCATTTTGCAAGGATGAATGCATTAAGCCTCCACTGCCTTGATCCTCTTCTCTTATCGTACTGCAATTCTATCTTGCTCTCACTTGTCTATGCTTGTGTTCTACTGTGTTTGGTAACTTCCTCATGCAATCATGTCATCATCGGATCACCTTTCATTTGCAGGCTACACCAGTGGCTGAAAAGGAAAATCCTTGATTCTCCTTGTGAAGGGGATGCAGGACCAACAGCATCAATTAGGTGCCCTCATGGAGGACTCATGCCTGAACAGGCGCCTGGAGCCAAGCGTTTGCTAGTCCCAGAGGATCTTTGGCAATTTATAGAAAAAAGTGCTATGACCGTAAAGCCTGATGATACTTTGGGTTGTTTAACTTTCCCTTCCGACACTGAGCCTTGTGCGCAATGCGGTGTTGAACTCTCAGAAGTAACAAGCTTGGAAGACAACTTAAGGTCATTTATGCATCTACAAATTAGGTTGGTTTTCTTTTAACTTGTTACTGATCCATGTCCTCATTCTGCAGAGAGTTAAGAATGAGAGAAAGACAAAATCATGAGAAATTAGTGACAGGCAGGACTTTGCCGATTGTTGTTGGGAGAAGGTACTACTTATTACCAGCAGCATGGTTGTCTTCATGGAGAAACTTTGTTGGTTCGACTGGAAAGAACACTGGTACTGCTGAACCTGAAGTCTTGAGCACAATAATTGACTCCTTAATATGCGAAAAGGTAATCTGCTTTAGTTCAATGATATTATGTTTATGCTGATTATATTTGTCTTCACTTCATGTTATCTTCATGATATTACATCTTTGATCCGTCGGATAATGTTGTTAGTTGTACTATTGGTCACTTTCTTATCTTCAACCAAGAAATGGTCTCCTGAGTTTAATGTATTTGGATCTATTAGAACTTAAAAGCATAGTAAAGGTACTTTTCATTAAATAACCGTAAAAATGTGAACCTTACTTGAAGACGTGGATTGATTTTTGGCATATTGTGGGCGTTTCTCCTTTTTATTTAATGGGGGGTGGGTTTCTGGAGAGATTTCACTGAAAATCAGGAACAGTGAGACTTGAGATGATTGAATAAATGCAAGATATTTAGCCTTTGGAGAGAGTATGTGATTTTCACCTGAGAAGGATGACAGGAATTTTCTCCTTGGATCAAGATCAACTTGTGACTGAAGATAGTTGTTACTTAAACTTGTTCTTTAGAGAAAGTTTGGAATTTATTGACATTCTGTTATATAAATATGTTTTTTGTGCTTCTGCGTCTTTTGCCCCTTAATCAGCACTCACGACTTCTCGAAAGACCCCCAGATCTTGTTTATAGGCGTGGACTTATTCTCCAAAAGGCTCCACTTGTAAGTATCGACTCTTATATGTAGCTTCGTTGGTTCTCGATTTGCGTGATATGTTAAATTGATGAATTTCTCATGATTTTGTTCTGATAATCCAGTTAATTGTTTGCAAGTTTTTCTATTTTGCTTATTCACTGGTTGCATTATTCTTTATTTACTCATTTGTTACCTTTTCCCTTTGGATTTTCTTGCTCTTCACGGGAAAAGAATATCTCTTGCTCAATTTCTTGATACTTGAATCATATGCATATGTTAAAGTCATTCATTTTTTATTCTCTTGAAATGTATGGCATATGCACTACACTGATTTGGTTTTGTATCGCACCAGATCATCTCAGAACTTTCTTAAATTCACTGTTTATAACTAAAAAAATATGCATACATCTGAACTGAACTGAAAGTTTCTTAGATTTATATCATTATGATTCTTTGTTACTTTAAACTGCACATCGGGGGAACTAATCTGCAGCCATCTTACTTTTGTTTTCACATTTCAGACAGAAGTTCTTACTATCATTTCAGAAGATGACTGGAGGCTATTTTGTGAGTCTTGGGGTGGAATAGAGGTCAGAGGTGTTTCGGCTGAAATTGTTTCTAATTTGAGCTCAGAAGAGGAATTGTGTGTATCTTTTGAAGAAATACCGATTTCTGAGGACAACATGACAAACATTCTTAATGACGGTATCAATGGGGAGTCCAAAAGACCAATGATTAAGACTTGTCCTGAGGTAAATGATGCTTTTCCTACACTTTAATTTGATTCTGATGAAGGTTGATTGTGGCTGTATAATTATCCCTTTCTATATTGATAAGACATGAAACAAATTCATCAACATTATGCATTTTGTTGTGAATAGATTTTTGTAATTGCAGTTGATAGAGCCAGAATTATTAGTTCTAGAGTCTTGATTGCCCAATAAAGTTTATTAAGAATAAATTGATCTTGTAAGATTAATGAAGAATTTTATTTTATGACTCTCTCTCGAACACATTTTCTACTGTTACTCTGTTCCACATTTTTAAAGGGCTTAAAGTGTTTATGAGATCTTCAGCATGGTTCTTATGTTATTTGGCACTTCACACTTAGCTTTAGTGCAAACATTCTTCTGTGTGCTCTATCAGTTTGTTCATCACAGGACCCCTATAATTCTTCTCTTTGAAAACCATTTCGGACTCCTCAATTTTGGGTATTAGAGTGCTTCAGATGGGTAGAAATGCTTTAATGATAATCTACTAGTCAAATAGATACTACATGCTCAGTGAGCTGCCTTCCTTACTGCGTTGGGGGTGTCAACAAGCATAAAGCGTGAATTTGGGTATATTTGCGAGTCTTCCGTATGCCCTTGATAAAAAGCAGTCAGGGTTCATCTCTGATGTAATTCAGAAAAGCTATCCATTTTTTACCTGGATCTCTTTTAAAAAACTTTATAAAGAAAGGTCGCAGAGACCTTTATTTTGAAACCTAAGAGTTTTTAACCTCGGAGCTTTGCTTTTAGTACTTGTGTTCCTCTTGTCAGACTGCTTGGATGATGATATTTATTAGAGTCTTCGTATATTGGGGAATACAAGAACTCTCTCCCTTTCTGGCTTTGTTACAGTCTTCAATATTCTTTAAAATTTCCGACAACTGAAAAGTCTGCCAACCAAAAACAAATGTCTAAATTAAATGTTACTGGCAGTTCTTGTCTACGTGTTTCATGACATGGCTATCATTGTTTTTGTAGGTTTGTGAAGAGTGCATTGGTGAAAGGGAAAGTCACGAGTTGATGCAGAAGCTTGACTATTCCAATGAGAATATATGTGTTTATTTTGCCCGGGGCAAGGAACCTCCAAAGTCAATCTTGGAAGCATCTGGAAAAATTTCGGAGCTCAGTCGAAGAACTTCGAAGCGCTCCCGGAAGTCAGCATTGGGGAACTACAAGACGTTGGTTGTTTCTGGAAGTACAACAATCTACCAGCTAAAGATGATGATATGGGAAGCTTTTGGGGTATGTCATAAAAACGCATTAATGCATGTTTTCAGTCAGAGCTTTTTCCAATTCACTTGGGAAGTTCTTATGATGTCAATAAATGAGTTGCAGAATTTGTTTGGGTCTTGCCTTTTCTCCTGCTCTTTAAAATTGATTTTGAGGGAAATAGTTTTTGTGTTGGTTCCATCTGGAATGTTTATGGTGCTCGATATAATCTGGCTTGTTAAAACTGTTTCTTTCACTCGGAGTTTCACAATGCTTTGTCTTTACACACCAATTCCAAATTAAGTAAATATGGAGTATCAATCCCCATAGCTTTTTGAACACATGGAATGTAATCATGCCCAGCTCCTGTGGAAGGTGTATATTATTGAACTATATTGACGTGGTAGTTGCATGTGCCAAATTTGGTGGTTTCCTCTGGCTGAACTATTTGGTGTACATGACAATTTTGCTGGGTGATTATTTGTAGGTTTAGGGAATTGTTTTTGTTATGATTATTGTGTGTAAGAGTGGGAGGTTTCACACATAAGTTACACGATTGTGCTGATGCATTGTTAGCGGTCAAAAGGGAGAGATTATTTAGTGCAGCATTTGTACCATGCAGGATGATACTGCCAGAAACATGAAAGGGTAACTTTTAGGCCTAAGTGAGCTACAAAATTGGGGAGCATAATTTCGTTGTCAAATGAGTATGATGAACTACAAATTATGGTGCAGCATATACATACATATATGTATGTATTGTATATTCCAAAGATATTTTGTTAATTTTGCAAGTGTGTCTTTAAGCCTTTGTATTATATTCTAGTCCTGGTGGTTTATGATTACTTTTGATAATTGCTTTTGAGAGATCCTACTTCATGCCCTACAATTGCAGCAAATTATGTCGTTTGATCCATAGCTTGTGGAAGGGGGTTTTACTTGTTTAATTGCTTCTGACTGTGTGATTTTCAAATTTCTCTTTTACTTACATAATTGCATTACTGCCTACAGATTGTGAGGGAAAATCAGATACTTCACAAAGGTTCCAAACCAATAGAGGGAGATTCTGCTTGTCTTGCTGATTTGAGTATCTTTCCTGGAGATTTTCTATGGGTAGCCGATTCAGAGATACACGAGGATCGTGATATTGCTGGTATGTATCTCATCTGTGGAACTAATTACTGAATGGCATGAAATCCTGCTCAAATGTTAAGGATAGAAGTTTAATATGTTTAAGTTGTTGTGTAGATATTGTTGTCATACAGTGATCTGCATTTTAAGGTTCTTGTGATCGTACCTCAAGAAGTTCCAAGTTATATGACTTCTGTATCTCTTATCACTGTAAATCTTGTCTCAATAGTCAATCTACTGCAATTCTGTGTCGAATAATTACCAGGTTATATGTTGTCATCGGAGCTAATTTGGCATTTTTTTCCTAAAAAATTTTGTGGGCTCTTCTTTTATGTTTTTTACTTCTGCTTTTACACGAAAAATTGTTGTAAGTATGTATATGATAGAGGAGGCTGCAAAGAGCATTTAAAAACGTCTCATCTCGTCAAGATTTTACAACTTTCTTATGCATGATAGTAAGCATTTGTTCTGTGAGAAGCTTTTAATTAACTGAATCAAAAAACAAGAAAGTCCTGTAGTCCCTAAAAGGTTTCAATTAGTTAAGTGTATTCTTGCCATATCTGCTGCCACTGATGAATCTAAATTGCTGATATTCATAGGTAGTACAATATATCATATACTTGTACATATAAGAGAAGGAGAAAATGGTGGGAAGGAATATAGTAGTTACTCATTTAGAATGACAGATTGACAAAAATTTGACTTTGTTACTTGTTAAGTGGCCTTGTTTGAGGAAAACTTTGTATCCGTAGCAGCAATACCTGAATGTAGGACCTTCAACTTCCGATTACTTGTCCCATATAGGAGCCAATGTGATTTCAGTTACACCAATGGATTGAAAAAATTTTGAGCTTTGGATACCATCATGTATGAATATTAATAATGGCCTTTCCAGACAAATTTTAACAGTTTATCTGTGTTTTATCCAAATACATGTGTAACATTTGTAATTTTTAGTTTGCTGGTACTATAGGGATCCATAATAAGCTTTTATCTCCCCTTGTCCAATTGCTGTGCCTAGCCCCAAGAAGCTGTTGGGGAAACTTAGATAATAAACAGTCAGCATTCCATTGTAACACTCAATCCTTCCTCTTAAGCTGACATGATTTCTTCTCCTCAGCTTTGGAAACAGGCTGCATTATGAGATGTATATATTCAATGGGTGTGGTTTATTCTTATATTATTTTGTAAGGCTGACCATGTTTTCAGCTTTTACATAGCTTTATTTAAAATGTCTTGTGTATTGCTGCTGCGCAGATGAACTTTCTGACCAGAAGATGGATATACAAACAGCTGAAGGAGGTTTTGGAGGAACACTTCTTACATCAAATATCTAGGTTTTTGTTGATCCCAAAAGCATGCTGAAACTGACTCCTCTTAATTTTGGATACTGGAAGAGGTACTCGTTGAAGCTTTGGATTACCTGGGAGGTTAGTTTGGTGCTTTTGGTTAAATTGAAAGGTCTTATCTTATTCATGTGTCTTACTGTTTGTTTATCAAATGAGCATATGTTACTCATAAACAAGAATCAATTCCTTAAGTTACTGCAGTATTTTGACATTGCAGTCCTCATGGATAGTTCTTTCATCACTTTGTTTTGGACTTTTGCGATTCAATGAGACATGTCTATATTTCTTGGAAAATGAATAAAAACGGGAAAAATAAATAGTTGGGAGTGGTGGAGCAGTGAAAAACCTACCTTGGGTGGGTCATCTTGACATTAAGGCTTCAGCCATAATAAGTGGTTGAGTCAATGCACTGTGTCATTATTTACCCTTTCTGTTCTTGCTTGAGTTCTCTGGCTTCTATAGGCTTGTTGGTGTAACTCTCTTATGAATGATGGGGGTGCTTTTCACTTATGGATAATACATGCCATTGTCGTAAGGAGTAGGAATCCTTATTCCGGTTCATCCCAGAGTTGCTTTAGTGCAAAAGAACTATAATGAAACGGTAGTTGAAATTGTCCTAGTGTCAGATGTTTTGCTGATTAATTGTAATGCACTGAAGAAATTGAAATGATTGGATAAGTATATTTTTCAAAATTGGTAAAAGACCTGTTTAGTGTGAAAAGAATATTAGAGGGAGCAAGGAAGAATGCTATTGAGGTTTATTCTTTAAGCATTTTCTGCCATTCGATGTGATTGATGAGTATATTTGAAGAACCCGCTGATGAGTGGTTTGGCCTATTATGGTTTCAATCTCATAGTGGTATGCCTTAATGTGTTTAAAACCTGGTCCTATTCAATATTGAAACTTTGTATAACTAATTTGAGGTTATATTCTTTGTGCTAGAAGAGATAAATGGTATAACGGCGAGCATTGGTAAAGTTGTGTTGGAGATCATTTATGCCTGGTTTTGTGGTAGGGTTTCATGTGTCGATCAAACTTTTTCAAACCTTACCCATGTCCGAAGTTAGAAAGGTCCAAACAGAAAATCAATGCATGTATTGGGGAAAGAGCTGTTATGTTGTAGTAATCTCGTTTATTATCTTCTCATCTGATATTAACATGGATATTTACTTCCTTACAGTTTCTGAGTGAACGTACTGATGCGTTATGCAGATATTCTGTAGAAAACTGTACATTCTGGCACTTGTGGCATTCAATACGTTCCATTGGTTTTCAAGATCTGCAATGGCTTCTCCTGCTGTGTTGTGTACTACTGGGAACTCTGGCTGCCTTTGCCAATTTTGTTCATACACTGCTACTGGTGGCTTGTTCCCTTGCGGACAACTCTGTATATTTTTAAACTTGTCGGATTTTAGTGCATTGGTGTGTAAATTCTTTACATGACAATCTAGTACTGTAAGTGTAAATCCCGTGTATGAACCGGAAGTGGTCCTCATACACAACATGCAAGGTATGCATGATTTTTGGTAGTCGCTGGCTGCATTTATATATGATTTAAGTGGATGGTGTAGTAGGAATCTACAGACCGGACTATGACTATTTTTCCGTAAAATCTAGAAAAAATATTGTTCTCTTTTTTTCGTTCAACAAAATGAATTATTTACGTGGAATGAAAAATGAACTCCCTCGAGTTGTCACTTGTGTCACGGGCTTACTTTTTCAAAGTAACGGCCGTGCGGCACTAGCACAAAACAACTAACGATCAAGTGCTAGCTCAGCCTTAAGACCCCCAAAGCGTGCAAAGCTAGGCGAGACTTTAAAGAACGGAGGCAAAGAAAAACTTAAGAAAGGTTGAAAGTGAAAGAATGATGAAGGCACAAGAGAGCTTAAGGAATGCTTGAGAACTCTACTCAAAGCTTGGATGATTACAAATGAAGCGGGGGGGCATGGGGTATTTATAGGCAAACCCCCAAGTCCTAAAGAATTCTAGAGAATTCTATGTACATAATAAAAATAATGGGATTCTAGAGAATTCCTACAATAAAATATTCTAAGTTCAAAATATCTACAAGTCTCTAGAATCTTCCACACGGTTCTAGCAAACTCGGGTAGCTTCCACACGGTTCCACTCGTTTCTAGAGAGTTCCGGGCCTCTCTAGAAAATTCCAGAGTCTTCAAGATTTGACTAGAGAATTCCACAAGGCTCTAGACCGTTCCGTCCCATGTCCGTCTACGAAAATAGCCCGTTTCGCATCAAACCACCCGAATTCGTGGTGAAGAAAACTGTCTGTGACATCCTCCCCACCAAAATGGTGCATCGCCCGATGCACCTAAGTCTCGAAGGCAATGTTGAAAGGAATGGGTGCACGATTCTCCTCAAAGTCCTCGATCAATTTGGTGAATTGCCAAAGCTTCTCGATTGGCTCCCAACTCGTCTCACTCATTGGCAAATTCTTCCATTTCACCAAGTATTCTTTAGTTCTTGCCCGCTCTTGCCCCGAACGATCCTCTTAGAAAGGATCTCCTCTGCGGTCCGTTCCTCATGCTCGCGTCGCCACGGTGGTGCCCTTGAGGAAACGTTCCGTTCTTCGTCCTCCGGGTCCTTGCGGTATGGCTTAAGTAAGCTCACATGAAAGACTGGATGAAGTCTTGAAAGGCCTCGGGTAGCTCCACTTGTAAGCAACCGAACCCACTTTCTTAAGAACGGTGAAAGGACCTCGTATCTGCGCATGAGACCCTTGTGTAGACCACGGCTCCGTCCATGTTCATAAAGCTTCACCAAGACTTGGTCGCCTTCTTCAAACTCGCGACGGGTCCGTTTCTTATCCGCCCATTTCTTCATGCGCGCGGTGACTTCTCCAAGTAGAGTTTTGCCTCGTCGGCCCGTTCTTGCCAATCTTTGGCAAACTTGTATGCGGGTGGGCTATTGCCCTTGTAGCCCCCAAGAATGTCCTTAGGCGTAGTCGGTTGGAAACCAAGGATAATCTCAAACGGACTTTTGCCCGTGCTCTCACTCCGCATCAAGTTATAGGAAAATTGGGCAACGTCTAGCAAACGTACCCAATCTTTACGGTTGGCTGCCACATAGTGCCTAAGGTACACCTCCAAGAGGCCGTTGATGCGCTCCGTCGCCCATCCGTTTGCGGGTGCAAAGATGTAGACATCTTGAGCTCCGTCCCAAGCAAACGAAAGAGTTCTTGCCAAAACGGCCGGTGAACCTTGAGTCCTCTGTCGCTTATGATCGATGTAGGCGGTCCCAATACTTCACCACATGCCTAAGAAAGAGTTTGGCCGTTATCTCCGCGGTGCACTCTTTTGGGGCGGGTATGAAGACCGCATACTTAGACAAACGGTCTACCACAACAAGTATGTTGGTGCAACCTCGGAAACGGGCAGGCTCACGATGAAATCCATCGAAACGCTGTCCCACGGACGTTCGGAATAGGCAAGGGTGATAACAAGCCATGCGGGTGGTCTTGCTCGGTCTTGTCTTGTTGGCAAACTAGACAAGTCCTTACATATGTCTCCACGTCTTCCCGCATGCGAGGCCAATAGAACCGTTCATGTACTAAGGCAAGTGTGCGATGCGTACCTGGGTGACCCGCATAACGGCTATCATGGCAATCCCTTAGAATCTCCCTTCTAAGTCCATCCCATGCGGGCACGTACAAACGGTTCCCTTTGGCATAAAGTATCCCATCCTCAAGCCAGAACCGCGTTGTCTTGCCTTCCTTCACGAGCTCCATGAACCTTTGGGCTTGACGGTCGTGCTCAAGACCCTTCTTAATGCGATCAACCAGCGTTCCTCGGGTATGCTAACGATTGGAGCAAGACACGCCTTCGGCTTAGGGCGTCGGCCACGTGGTTAGTCTTCCCGGGCTATACTCAAGCTCGTATTTAAACTCGGCCAAGAAGTCCAACCAACGCGCTTGCTTGCTTGAAAGCTTAGGTTGGCTTTGATGGTAGCTCACCGCCCGATTGTCCGTCTTGATCTTGAACGGTGTGGCGGCCTTCAAGTAATGCTCCCAAACTCTAAGGCGGTGAACTATAGCCAACATCTCCTTCTCGTGCGTCGGCCACCTTTTCTCGGTCTCATTCAGCTTGCGACTTTCAAAGGCGATCGGATGACCATCTTGCATGAGAACGCCCCAATGGCGAAGTCCAGGCGTCCGTGCACACCTCGAACGGTTTCTCAAAATCGGGGAGAGCTAGGACGGCTCTCGAGTGACGGCGTCCTTTAAAGCCTCGAACGCTGTTTGGTGTTTTGGTGTCCAACACCAAGCTTGCCCCTTTTTCAAGAGATCCGTTAGTGGAGCGGCTATAGCGGAGTGCCCTTCAATAAACCGCCTATAGTAATTAACAAGCCCCAAGAACGATCTCAGTTCCGTTGGCTTCGTGGGTGCCTCCCACTCCACGATAGCTTTGATTTTGGCCGGATCCATGCGGATTTTGCCCCTACCAATGATGTGTCCCAAGAACGACACCTCCTCAAGGCCGAAGGAACACTTCTCCCTTTTAACATAGAGCCGGTTTTCCCTAAGTACTTGAAAAACGGCTCTAAGATGCTCCACATGCTCCTTCATTGTGTTACTATAGATAACGATGTCGTCCAAGTATACTACAACGAACTTATCAATGAAATCTGCTAGCACACGTTGCATCAGAGTGCAAAACGTGGCTGGGGCGTTAGTTAAACCGAACGGCATAACAAGAAACTCATAAGAGCCATACCTCGTCACCATGGCCGTTTTCGGTTCATCACCGGGTACAATGCGTACTTGGTAGTATCCCTTCCGCAAGTCTAGCTTGGAAAAGATCCGTGCCGTTGCGGCCGGTCGAACAAGTCCGCTATAAGTGGGATAGGGTACTTGTTCTTCACGGTTAGTTTGTTTAACGCCCGATAGTCGATGCACAAACGTAGCGTCCCATCTTTCTTGCGTTGGAATAAGGCCGGCGAACCCCACGGACTTTTAGACGGCCTTGCATGACCCGATTCAAGTAGCTCCTTGATTTGCACCTTGAGCTCCTCTAGCTCACTAGGGGACATACGATAAGGCACCTTGGCTATCGGTTTCGCCCGTCCACCAACTCGATGGCATGATCAACCTCCTCCTTGGTGGAAGACCTTTGGGCAAATCGTCGGGCATCACGTCCTTGAACTCAACAAGGACTCGCTCTATGGGAGGCGGGATTCGTTCCTCCTTTGCCGGCTCCTCGTGCATGGTTCCTCCTCAAACACCATGGCGGCAAAGGTGTGTTCACCCGTTTTAGCCCCTTGTTTAGTGGGAAGGGCTAATCTCATTTTCCGTCTAAACTTTACCACACAAGGCTTCGCCTTGGAGGATCACCATCGTGTCGTTGCTAGGCACGATGATCGGCTTTACCGGTCTAAAACTCCATGCCAAACACAAGACCATAATCATCCATAGGTGCAATGGAGAAATTAGCCGTACGACCGATTGCCGATTTTAAGAGGCACATCCTCGGCTTCGCCTACAAGACCCGTCCATTCACCGTTCACGCCTTGAAACGGCCTTTGCTAGGTGTCCACTTGACGCCAAGCGAACGGGCTACCTCTTCCGTGAGATAACTCGTGTCGGCCCCGTGTCTAGCATGCCCCATCTAGACCCGTTCGCGAACGATGCCTCCATGTAAAGACGGCCTTGACGTGTCTCGGCCTTGGCATGCACGGCATCTAGCCGTTTCATGCAAGCGACCCGTTTCTCCTCTTCTTGGCACAAACCTTGTGCCAATGCCAACTTCGAACGAGACGGGCAATCACGTGCCATGTGCGCTCCCCGCACAAGAAGCACCCTTGAAACTTCTTTGGCTTGTCCCCTTGGTCTCCTTGCTTGAAGACGGCTTTGTATAGTCGGCTGCCGGCTTCGCGGTGTGGAAGACTTCCTTTGTCTCCCCACCTTTGCCTTGGAACGGCTTCTTGCCCTTGTCCTTGGAGCTATCCTTCTTTGGAACTCAACAAGCGACTCGGCCACCTTTAACGCCCGATCGATGTCCTGGACTTCTCTGTTGTAGCTCAAGTTTGGCCCAACGGTTGAGACCGTCCATGAAAGTAAAGAACGCCTCCTTGGGCGAGAGATCCGAATTTCAAGCATCAAGTCCGAAAATTCCTTAACGTATTCCCGAATTTGGCCTTCCTATGGTGCGGACGACGAAGCTTGGCCCGGGCTTCGTCTTCCGCATCCACCGGTAGGAAATACTTTCTAAACTCTTCCTTAAAACCATCCCACGTGGTGAAGACCGGGTCTCCATCCCCACGGGTTTCATCATACGTTTCCACCATGATAAAGCACTATCTTTAAGATAAAGAGAGGCTTGGAAGAGTCTTACCGAGTCGTCCATGATATTCATAGCCCCAAAGTACCGTTCCATGCTGTAGAGAAAGTTCTCTACGTCCCTCAAGCGACGGCTGCCCTTATATTCGTCCGGCTTGGGCGCCTCAAGCCTTGGAACCGTCCCCACGGCTCCGGTTGTCCCTTGCACGGCCACGGTGTCAAGCCGTGCCTTAAGACGCGCCGATTCTGCCCGAGACGTCTCCAGCTCCCCCATAAGCCGGTTGACGTCGTCTTGGAGGGCGGCAACACAAGCAAGGCTTTCCTCCTTCGACTTGTTGCAACGTTCCACCATTTCGTTGAGCGTCCCTAGCATGTCGTCCTTCATTTGCTGCATGACCTCTTGCAATTCCCCTGCGAATCGCTCCATGCGAGCTTCGACGACCCCCGCTACCACCTCAGGGTGCTCGTCCCAACGGTCTTGGTGGTCGGCCACAGCAAGCTCTAGCTTGGCAAGCCGTTTCTCGAATTCCACCATCGGCTCCCTAACGACCGACTTCTCCTTGCGGCTTCCTGCGGGTGGTCCTCCCACCTCACGGAAACGTGATCCCCTCAAGCTCCGACCCTTGAACAACCTCCGAAGGGTTAGACATAGCTTATGCACGAAAGAAAAGCAACAAACGGAAGCGTAGACGATGTAGCACACCAAGTATCGAGCCGAGGCTCGATACAACTGTCACGGGCTTACTTTTTCAAAGTAACGGCCGTGCGGCACTAGCACAAAACAACTAACGATCAAGTGCTAGCTCACCTTAAGACCCCAAAGCGTGCAAAGCTAGGCGAGACTTTAAAGAACGGAGGCAAAGAAAAACTTAAGAAAGGTTGAAAGTGAAAGAATGATGAAGGCACAAGAGAGCTTAAGGAATGCTTGAGAACTCTACTCAAAGCTTGGATGATTACAAATGAAGGGGGGGGCATGGGGTATTTATAGGCAAACCCCCAAGTCCTAAAGAATTCTAGAGAATTCTATGTACATAATAAAAATAATGGGATTCTAGAGAATTCCTACAATAAAATATTCTAAGTTCAAAATATCTACAAGTCTCTAGAATCTTCCACACGGTTCTAGCAAACTCGGGTAGCTTCCACACGGTTCCACTCGTTTCTAGAGAGTTCCGGGCCTCTCTAGAAAATTCCAGAGTCTTCAAGATTTGACTAGAGAATTCCACAAGGCTCTAGACCGTTCCGTCCCATGTCCGTCTACGAAAATAGCCCGTTTCGCATCAAACCACCCGAATTCGTGGTGAAGAAAAACTGTCTGTGACACTTGGACATTGGAAATTGAGTTCAAATCGAGTGATCGGAAGTTTAACGATCACTATGATGATAGTCATATCATATATCGCAAAATACTGAGGTCCCGAGTGTCCTTGCGCTCCTCATTTAACGTATTAACAGTTTCCTTGCAGTCCAATTGGAGTTGAACTTTGGTGAGCATATGATATGAGAATGTCAAATGTTAGACATTCTGATCAGCTTGTTTACGCTGCCGGCGCATTTCTAAAACCTGATTTTCTCTTTTTTCATTGTTGGCTTAAATCTTTTTGAATCTCTATAACGCATTTGCAACTTTGAAAACTTGTTCTATTTATTTGTCTATGGTTGTGAACGTTTGTTTTTTTTGTTTATTTGTTCAGTGGAGGAAGCTGTTATTAGTAATGGTGTTTACATGTTCTGTTGATGATTCTGAAGGCTTTTTCAATAGATAGGTAATGCCTGATTCCTGTTGTGGCCATTTTCCGACAAATTGTTACTGGAAGATGCAAATTTGAAAGGGTTTATAAGGAACTAAAAAAGATAGTTATCTTATAGCTATAATATTAGGGCTGTACATTTTGACCCGCGGTTCGGATCGACCCGATGATCCGAACCGATCCGAACCGAAACCGATCTGAAATATTAATTTCGGATCGGTTCGGTTCGGTTCAAAATTCAGTTATATGGGCATGGTTTGGAACGGTTCGGATCAGTACTTAAAACCGAATTGAACCAAAATTCTACTTTTTGGTTTTTACCTCTAAATAATCAACCTTTCATTCCCGGTCCAATTCTTCATCCCTACACTCACTCCGGCGACTCGTCGATGCCGATCAAACCGTCGGCTCATTAAAGAGCTATTAACGGTCATTATTCTTAAACCCATCAAACGTTTCTTCGATACAACTTCAGATCTAGTGTGGCGGCATCTCCGGGCTCCGGCGACTTCAATCGCCAATCAAAATCAAAATCCACGATAGTGCGAGTGAAGGCCAAGATCCAGTTTTCCATCCAACCCATCTGAGCACCATCATCTCCTTCGCCGACGGTTGACGGATTCTGGTTGTCGACCTTGCTTCGGAATCAAACTGAGGACAAGAAGACCATTTGCTCACAGAATCAGACTCTCCCAAATCACTTGACCCGGACCCAAAAACCCTTCTTCAAGAACTCGCTGTAAGTGCCCTTTCGCATCCCAGTAGTAGAATTTGTAATGTTTTAATGTATGAGACCCTGACATTTTTCTGGCTCTGTTTCCTTGGCAGAATAGCTTCGTTCTTCCAGCTGATTACTTCTCGAAGCTGCCCCGAGATTTTCGACTTGATGTAAATTGAATGGAATTGAACCTTTCAAATATTTGGCGTTGTTTCTGAAGTGGTTATCTTTGTTAGTTCTGTATTGTTCATTGTTTGTGAAACAAACTTTATTGTATGGTTTCTGGACTGACTAGGTTTAATGATTTTACAGTTGAATGATGCTGCTTTTGATCTTTCTAATGGACCAGTTAAAGATGAGGTAATGATTAGTGCGGAATCAATTTTCAATTTGAACTTGTAGCATTGCAAATCTTCAGCCTGCCTTTCATATGGTGAGGATGCATCCACTAGTTAAAGTCATTTCAAGCTTTTTAAATTGCAATGCAATGATATTCCGTCCCTTGCAAATGCTTCAATTACATTTGTGTTCCATTGCTACATTGGTTAAATTACGGCTGAATACTCAAAATGAATCTTGGTAGTGCAATGTGGTTAAATTACTTCCCTTTGCTGCCTATTACTGGTGATTCCAATCAAACCTGTTGCAGTACATTGTTTATCTTGCGAAGTTTGTCTACATGTCACCTCACCTTCGCATCCGAAGTGCATCTTTTAAGGCTCCGTTCTGTGTTTTTGCTAGCTCTGTATTTCTTCTTTTCGGGCATAACTCATAGATGCATAAATTGCTATAAAGAGTATGGTGTATGCTATATCAGTGTCATTATTCTCTAAAAGTCTGACCTTCTTTTTGAGTTTCTGTTACAAAAGCGCCAGTTTGTTGGACATATTAAAGTCATTAGCATATACATAAGTAATATGGCTAAAGCTAGTATGCCAATTTAATCAGAATTTTGTTATACTTTCTTCTTGTTTTGCATTGCAGTACACATTGTTTGGTTCTCTGTTGACCTGTGGTGCAATGATTGGCTCGATTACAAGTGGTCCAATTGCTGATTTCATCGGCCGGAAAGGGGTAAGAAAGATTGGCTGATTTAATTTCAGAATCAGTGTTCTGTCAACTGAGTTTTGAACTGATAAAATCTCCTTGCAAATACACCTTTTTGTTTGATTTCTTTTCGTAACCCTTTGCTTTGTTTCTTAAGGTAATTGTTAGTTTTTACGGATCCTAAAACAGAGTTGTGGTTGGTTCTGAAATCGCATTTAAAGTTGACTATTGAAAATGATTTTCTGCGAAGTCTAGAAATTCAGTTTCAAAGGCTTATTTCTCCTATTTCTTGAATGCTTTTCTGAGATTTCTTCATATTAATCTCTTCTATGTTTCATCTAGTTTAATGTGGTTTTTACGGATTGGTAAATGGACTCCAGGTTTGTTCGGAAATCGGATTTGAACATGACATTATCTTTGCTGAAAAATGCAGGAAATTCAGAATAAATTCCTTCTGTTGTCAGGCCTTTTTCTCCTAGGTCTTGAACTGTTTTTTGGATTTTCTTTTTGTGAAACTGTTTTTCATTCAGTTTACTTTGTTGTGGTTTTTACGGACTATCAAATGGACTCCCGATTAGGTTATAAAGTTGGACTATCCAATTGAAGGATCAAGTAAAGAACAAGACGGCGATGAAGTATTATTCAGTCGCATATAAGGAGACATAGCAGACAGGCATTCATCTTGATAAACAGGAGGCATGGTGTGTCCCATGAAAGGGATCACAGGATTTTCAGCAGGGAACTGTGTCTGAAATTTGAATATGTCTGAAATTTTTAATTTTTAATTTTTTTTGAAAATGAATCAGAAAAAATTATAAAAAAAAAAAAAAAAACGGGTCAAAACGGTTCGATTCGGGGTTGATCCGACAAAACTCCGAAACCAAACCGAACCGAACCGAAACTATCCAGGTCATTTGGGGCGTGACCTGTTCCGAACCGAACAAAATGGTTCGGTTCGGTTTCGGGTCGGGTTGGTTTTCCTCTAAAGCACAGCCCTAATAACATAAGCACAAAATCGTCTGTGTTAGAATTGTTTTTTTCTCGAAGTACTCAATCTTCTGGTTTTAGGCTTCTCCGATGTCAGAACTCACTATTATTGACCGAGATAGCGAATGTTATTGTCATTAGCTACTCTTATGATTGGCTAGTATAATTTAAGGGCGCGAGCAGTCGGAGTTCAATTTTATTCAGTCCATTGTGCCTCCTGGCTTATCATCCTTATGGTTGTTGCCAGAGAATCTTACTTGCTTTTTCTATGTGCGGAAAATCGCCAAAAACGGACTTTTTTGTTGCCTTGCTTGAATAATGCTGAGTTATGCCTCTTTTAAAGTATGTTAGTATTCTTATTGATGTTCTCTTCTTCTTTCTTTTTTAGTGATTAGGTGAAGTGCTTTGCTTAATGCTTATTTTATCGCTTCCTGCTTGTGTAAGTTATTTTTAATGGGACAACGAGGTGTAGTCTAGTAGTAAGATGCCTCCTATGTTCCTAATAGGTCACGGGTTCGAGTCATGTCGTGGCTAAGTGAAGAACCACTATTGATCCCTTTTAAAAAGGGGAAAATAAGTTACTTTTAATGTAACCAAATTGCTCACTTGTGTTTCTCTCTGATGAGCTACGATTATGGATTTCATAAAATATCTGGAAATATAATCAACCTTTCACTGTAGCTTGAATATGCTGACATGCTTTAATAAGGACCTTTCCTTGCCAGGTGAAAGGACTTGGATTTTATATGGATCTATGCTTCATTTCTTTCATGGAAGAATCAATTTTAATAGCTTTTGTTTACCCATAGGTTTGTTCTGGAAATGATTTTACCTTCTGATCCGCCAAGTTTGACTTATACAGCCATCAGCTGTTCCATTTGCTGGACTTAAAGGGTTTAATCAGGTTAAAGTTACTTCAGCAAAAATGGAACTCTCAATTACTCGGCCTGATGATTGGCATCTCCATCTCCGCGATGGGAACCTGCTTGAAATGGTTGTCCCTCACAGGTCAGTGCCCATTATCTCCCTTTTCTTGATTCATATGGCACTTATTTCATTTGCAAATTCTATAGTTGATTTAGATACGGAAGATAAATCTTTTTCTCTTACTAAAAAATAAAATATATAAATTTTTTTTTTTTGAAATATTCTTAAATTTATGTTCATCGCTTTTGTGTACAGTGCACAACATTTTGGAAGGGCAATAGTTATGCCAAACCTTAAACCTCCAATTACAACCACAGCTGCTGCAGTGGCATATAGAGAATCCATTCTGAAAGGATTACCGGCTAATAGCGACTTCACTCCTCTCATGACTCTTTATTTGACTGATTCCACCAGCCCTACGGAGATCAAGCTTGCAAGTGAGTAGAAATATGTAAAGTACAAGTTTCGATAATTTTGTTTCTGAAGCTTATTTGGCAAGAGAATTGTGTGCTTTGAAGCTAATTTTGCTATCATACATCAAAAGTCTACGTGGTAAGCAGTAATGTCTTTCCTCCAATTGGATAATTAAAACAGTTTAACTTGTTTAAATTTGAATGGATTGAACGGCAACCACAATTTCAAATTACTTGTTTATATGTGGATGGATTGAACTGTTGCCGTGTGCTGCCAATAATCGGGATTTTAGCCTATAGCGGAACATTGTACGAGGACAGAGTCCACAATTGTTTGGGTTTTTTTTTTTCCTGTCTTCTGAAATGAAAGATATGAATCTCCTGTCAGTAACTCCTAGAATGCCTTCGTATTATCTATCTTTTGTCTTATTGTTTCTCTAGAAAACCAGTATGTGGGGATTAAACTCAATAGTCACTGAACAAAGAAAGCTGAAAATTGATGTTCATTCATTAGTCCTGATTACTGCTGAGTGCTGATTGAGCGTCACTTCCCTCCTTATATCTTTATCAATTCCTCAACTCTCTGTTGTTGGGAAAACACTGATCTGTTGATAATGTTTCCGACTTTGTGTTTAGAATGTAATCAACCTCATTTGTGTTATTAGTTGGTTTACCATGTCAGATGCACATGGTAGGTTTCGTGGTGTGTAACATAACAAGTTTGTAGAGGGGTGTAAATCCTTTGCTTATATATTTCCAAAGGTGATTCCAACAAATTTTCTTGAGATTATGGAGGCTAGTGCTTTCAGAATGGAGAGACTTTGAGATTGAAGCTTCATGTGACAGTTGATTAGACCTTAGTCAAGCACAATTGTAAATGAGGAGAGTTTCTTCATGTATTTTCAATGGAAAAGAGATAATCGGTTGTTATAGACTATTACAGAGACCTCTTGTGCCTTGTTGATTCTGAATAGTCCTCAAACTGACACTCACTAGAATCATAAAGTGCCTTTGCTGATATGGGAGTTCCAATACTTATTAAATCTGTTTCATTTCTAGGAGCATGTGCATTTTATCGTTTTTACTACGTATCGTGCTGTTTCTTTTTCTGAAAATTGAGAAATTTCTTTTGGTGATAGTTATTAATGAACAAAAAGGGTATTCATTTCGCATGAACGAAAAGGGTACTAATCCCTCACTCTACTCAATTCTTCTTCTTCTTCTTCTTTTTTTATTTAACGTTCGTTCTTAATTCATTATCAGTGCTAGAAGAGTGAAGTGTCGAAGGAGCTCTTGAGCTATTATCTGAGTATAAAGTCTTCAGTTTTATCCTTCTTCCTAGAATATGATATCTTCTTTGTTAAGACAGTGTTGGTCTACGAGATAGTTTCTTGAGTTGCTTAAAAGATCGTTTAATTTTAATGAACTTCTTTGAGCGAACTCATGGCATGATGAAACTACCCCTCTTGACATTCATGTTAACTTGCTGGGCCAGTTTGGAGACATTCATGTGTTGCACAAGCATGTGTTGAAACTGAACAGATCTTAGAAACTCTCGCTTGGGCTTTTAGGAATCTGTGCAACTCTTGAGTTTAAGAATTAAGAACTGAAAACTACCATAGATCACGCAAAGTCAAAGGTTCTCCCGGATCCATTAATCTTTAGGCATCATACAACAAGATGTTAACTCGCAGGACTTTTCTTTTTCATATCAACCGGAAATTTCCTCTGAGAGACTTCCATTATTCATAGCCATAAACGGCAAAACCATAACCAATTTAAATAGTTTGCCATTTTCTGTTTCTCAAGATTGCAGATCCTATTAGAATCAGCAGCAAACAGAAAAAGTAACGCTGCTTAAAGTACTTTGGAAAAGGACTTAAAGTGAGAAATCTATTATTTAGGAAATTTCTAGCTGCAATTAGAATACCCTTTGGGAGCTGGTACCCACAATTACTAAAGCCAGCTATTAAACGCCTGCATTGAACATTTGAATAGAGATAAAATAATTGAGATATCCAATCTGTCAATTGCTTTCATAAATCCCAGTGAGGCTTGTTTACAGATAGGAAATCTTTCACTTAGGTTTTCCTTGCTTTGTTGTGTCTCTCACTTCTATATCAGGTTAGTGAGTGAATTATTGTACTATATTATGCTACTTTCATTCTGTAGATAATATTCTGGTTTTTGAAAGCTTCATCATTCACTGTGCAAAATTATTATAACTTTTTGAACTTTCAAGTTTGTTGTTTTGATGTTAATCACTGTATTAGGAATTATGTGTTTTGTTTATTCCCTTTGCAAACTTGTTTCTCTTACTAAACAAATTTCCGGTTACACAACTTAAGAAGTCGATGGAAAAATTTCCCTTTGAGTATCCCTTCGGTGTGTCTTACATACACCTTTTACAGGAGAGAGTGGGGTTATTTATGCTGTTAAGCTCTATCCTGCTGGTGCCACAACGAATTCGCAAGATGGTGTAACAGATTTATTTGGCAAATGTTTACCTGTGCTTGAGGAGATGATCAAGCATAATATGCCTCTCCTTGTAAGAATATTGCTCTCTAGATGGGTGTACCAGTTGTTTATGCTTTGTTGGCTAAAAGTGGTCAGCTTTCTTGCTTTCTAGATACATACCTGTTTTTGCTGCTTTCTCTGTTGACAAATACTGGTCATCTTTTCAAACTCTAGTATCATATTCTAAAGGAATCTAGACAATCGTATCATTCTTTTGGGTTCTTTGGACTGAATTGCAAAGAAAGGTAAGAAGATTGTTCTATAATAGTTTACGACCGCAATATCCTAAATGTAGGGTAAGTTTCTCTAAGATTATAAGATCATTGTGGCTATGAATCACAATGCCTACTCTCTTATTCAACTAGTTGTAGGACCTTAATGCATGATTTTAGATATGCCCTTTCTCTTTTGATTAGCCAATAAATTGTTATTGATTGTATATACAAATTTGGATCAAATTCTACGCATATTTGCCTTCAGCTTGTTGAGGAATTCATCACCTGTTTTAGGGATATTTGGATAATCAATGGGCTTAGTGGTTCTATTCTCTCCACTAGGATTATGGGAATTGTGTGTCGCCTCATCAGATTTAGTCTGTGGATGCATATTGCATTTTCAGTTGTGTAGCGTTTTATCTAAACTTACCCAGTTTAAGACATATGATTTGTGACCCAGGTGCATGGAGAGGTTACTAATCCAGAAGTTGACATATTTGATCGAGAAAAAGTATTCATTGAAACGGTTTTGAGGCCGCTTGTGCAAAAGTATCCACAGTTGAAAGTTGTGATGGAGCATATAACCACCATGGATGCTGTGAAATTCATTGAGTCTTGTACTGAAGGTGAATTTCTGGAGCCCTTATGGCTCTATCTTCATTCTCTTTTTTGGTTTTAAGTTATTCTTCTTATTCTTCTCTTGAATTTAATATTTGTTTTGTCTCTGTTTACAGGGTCTATTGCTGCAACTGTCACTCCTCAACATCTTGTTCTAAATAGGAATTCCTTGTTCCAAGGAGGGCTTCAACCACACAATTACTGCCTTCCTGTGCTCAAGCGAGAGATTCATAGTACTGATTTCACCTACCATGCATAAGTGATTTGACTTATACAATTAATCTGTCTATCACGTTTGAATTTTTTCTGTCTTATCTTAAAAGTCCCACAGTCCTTAAAACTATTACCCGGGGTCTAAGATCGTTAGAGTGAATAAATTTTCTTGTGCATTGCTTGGGCTTTGGTGCATGAATGGTCATCATCAGTTGTGGAGATGGGGGACAAGCAGGAGCGGTAGCCCCCTCCCCTGATTTTTAAAATAGAACTAGAGGACTGAAATTTTAATGAAAAATTATAATATGTTTGTAACTTTGCCCCAGCAAAATAGCAGTTATGTCGGCCCATAATTTAAGAACCTGACTCCGCTACTGGTCATCGTTAGTTTAAACTGTCACAAGGACATTAAAAATCAATTGGTTTCTGCTGTTTCCTATACAACGCATCATCAGGATATTTGGTAGCACAATTGTTTTTGTTTTTGTTTTTTTATGTAGATTATAGAACAAGCAGTAACATTCCAGAATGTAATCCATTGAGAGCTGTGTTAGATATTAGCTAGTCGAATGGACAGCGGTTTGTATTTAAGGTTTTTCATGACAATCTGGTATCTTTCAATCAGTTTTGAGGGAGAGAGCAACCACTCATATAATGCATTCCCTGTTTGATTTGTTCTTATTCAGGGCAAGCCATTGTATCTGCTGTCACCAGTGGCAGTAAGCAATATTTCCTTGGTACTGATAGTGCTCCTCATGAAAGACAGAAGAAAGAGTGCTCTTGTGGATGTGCTGGTATTTATAATGCTCCTGTAGCATTGTCAATATATGCAAAGGTCTTCGAGGAGGTAATTTGTGCTGTATTTCCATATTTCTCTGCTTTACGTTCAGGAATCTTAACCTTCAACCAATTTCTTTCCCATGAAAGGTGAACTTGAAAATGTCGCAATTTGCAACTTATTAAATGTGCTCGATAAACTGAAACAAATCACTGCAGTCATGTAGAGAATTTCATCAGTTTGCAGATTGATCTATGTTTGCTGATTGTGCAGTAAAATTTTCGGTGCATTTCTTAAAGCACCTGATGGCCCAAGTCATTTTTTTTTTCCTGAGAATTTGAACTAATTGCCTATAAAGCTTTACGTGACAGTGATAACTTTGTTACTGCTAGTCAGTCCATGCCTCTTGTTGATGCTAATAAATTTCAAAAAGTAAAAAGGTGCCACTATTGGTGAAATTTATGACCCCTTCCTGGCTTTTGCCACCTGACAATGTTATTTCATTGTAATAAATCTCTTGGAGTCTTGAAGAATTTAGGATGGTTAGCAATGTAATCTTTGATGACTGGGTGATGCTTGTTCTAATCTGGAGAATTACAGTTATTGGATTGAATAAGTACTTGTCAAACAAATGCATGATTAAATTTGAGGGCTTATCTATTGATATCAATGTAATTCTTTTGCATCTTAGGCTGGAGCACTCGACAAGCTAGAAGCGTTTACCAGTTTCAACGGTCCAGACTTCTATGGGCTCCCAAGAAACACATCAAAAATAAAGTTGAGGAAAACCCCATGGAGAGTTCCAGAGTCATTTTCTTATGCAGCCGGGCACATTGTACCCATGTTTGCTGGTGAAATGCTTGATTGGCTGCCATCTGATGTTTGATAGAGAAATTTTTCCTTTTCAGTGTGTTGTCTAACACGCACTGGAAGTCCAGCAAATGATAGCCTTCTGGTGACGAGATTTTTCCTTCAGTATGTTGTCTAACACACACTGAAAGTCTGGCAACGGATAGCCTTATGGTGACGGGAAGGCGATGCTACAGGTTCCATCATCCATGCTTCTGTTTGTTTGTTTGTTTAGTGCTCCAAGACTATAACCCTTGTGGAAAGGAATCGAGGGAGAGCCAGTTTTCCGGATTTGGTACATTTGTAGCATTAGATGTGTTGCCTAGGCTTAGAGCATGTTTTTACCACTTTTTCCTCTAATTCTTAAGAGGACTCGAGATCGTGCTATGTTGAATCTTGATATCAGATTTGCACGTTAGTTTTGCTTGCTCGTTAGGTCCCGGAGCCTACCAAGTCACAGAAGGCTTGAGATGGAGGATATATAACTTAAGTTTGCTGTGAAATACTCCTTCGGTTTAAAAATTATTGTCTAGTTGGGATTTTCAATTTTAGTATAAATTGAATCATAAATAAAATTTAAACTGGACAATACTTTTGGGACGGAAGAATTAATTAATTAGAATTTTCTCATTTTCGTAATCTAATTATCGCACTCGATGTGATATATATTTTTTGCGTATAATGAAATAAAAAGAGAAGGAAAAGAATGAAAAATAAGCCCTTGTGGGCAAAAACTAACCACCATTGGTAAGTCCTTTATTTCTTTGTTTATAAGACCAAGCATTTCAAGCTTTTAATGGCGCATTTTTAGCTGTAGTCTGTAGAAGGCACAAACGTGAATGATTTCAGAAGTAATGTCAGCCAAATAAGCACAGAACAAGTCACGCCGACGTGGAAAATTGGGACAAATAGTCGGAGCCGTAAAACAGTGGGATTCAACGGTCAAGATATATTCATTAGTTCAGACATACGAGAGAATCTGACGATCCAGGACGAAACGCGTTTGGACGGTTGTCAAATGCCAGGTCATTTGATCTGAGGGACCTCTGTTTTCTCTCATTTTTCTGTCTCGTGTTTGGAATGATTCCTTTCTCTGTCCTAATTCCTCTCCCTCTAGATTCTCTCCTAATTTTATTTTATTTTTATATACAAAATTCTCTCCTTATTTTTTCATTCAGGCCGGAAGGGAAAAAATAACATTATAATCATTTTTTGGACTTTAATAATAAATATTTCCTCAGTTTTTTAAAAAAATACATGATAAATTTTAAAATCTATACTAAAAATTTTCAACCGGGGGTTGGGAGGGGACAAAAGTAATATTAATTTAAACAATATAATTCTTCATAAATCTTGAAATGACCGATATAGACTAGAAAAAAAAAAGAAAAAAGAAGACCTTTATAGACCATGTAAATGTAATTGGTTAGGACATTAAAATGGAGCAAGACCTTAAATTAAGCACCGTTGATGGGAGCAAATTCCAGCATCAAAATGGTGCTAGTAAACTCTAACTATCCTTGTGTTGATGCGCTCTGTTACTTTCATCATTTAACAGAAGTACGCATCTCAAAAATTGTATTTCATTTTTGTTGGAAATTGTTTTATAATAAAGATTCTTACCGGAAAAATGCTTAATGTGGTAACTTTTCACAAATATTAATAAAAAATAATTTAATTGTAACACATCAAATTTAGTATCTTCACTTCTCATTCAAATTTACATTCATTCTACTTTTCTTTTGTTAAATACTATCTCCGTTCTAAAAAAATAGTCAACATGAGATTTGAGTTTTGTACTGTTTTGAGTTTTTAATACAAATATAAAAATTAAATGTGGACTATTTTTTTTTTGGGACGGAGGGAGTGGTATGAACTTATGAGACCAGAAGTGAGCAAAAATAAAAAATTTGTCTATACATTTTTTACTTTAACTATTGTCAACCATATTCACAGAATCCCATCCTATTTTTATATAAATAAAATGGCAAAATTGTCACTTTACATAACCTGTCAAAGGGAAGGATCCGAATATTCAAGTTTTCAGCATTTCAACTCCATTTCCTCACATTCATTACACCTCTCATAAAAGCTTCTCTTTTTTTTTCCCCTCAAGAAAAAGGGAAAATGGAATATAATTATTATTAAACAATGCTGTCCTTAATTTTCTAAAAAGTAAATTTTCAATTTAAATTCAATTCAAAAAAATCCCTACTTTGGAGTTTGAAATTAAAAAAAAAAAAAAACACACACACACACACACACAACTCAATTCTACTGTTCTTCTTAGTATAAATAGTAGGTTATCTCTCTGGTCCTCCCATATTCAGGCCTGCTTCTACTGCTCTAGTCTTTGAACGTTCAAATCCGAAAAGCGAAGCCGGCCAATCCATCCACAGCCATCTTTTTTTTTTTTAGCTTTTCAATTTCTAAGGTGGGTTTCCTTTCTACTTCAATCTGTTTGTCGATCTTTTTTAAGTTTTTCTCGCTTCTTTACGCATGAAATGTTCGCATAGATCTGAATGAATCTCGTGCTTTTTGTCTTTAGACTTTATTCAATTTGGTGTTTACTTTGGTTGATTTGTTCGGTTTGTTTGGTTTCTGTGTTTTGGATGTCAGTCCGAACTAAGTTGCTTTCTGATTTGGGTTTCCTTTGTTTGATTTGTTGAAGAACGAGAATTACGAACTGATTGTTTTAATTCGGTGGGATCTTATCGTCGTAAGTTTATTCGAGTAAGATCTGTTAGTTTTGTCTGTTTTAGTTTGAGTTGAGCTGGATTACTGTATTGTTGTTTACGATTGTGGTGTCTGCTTTTCTGGGTTTTGTTTGATGGGCAGAGTTTCATTCACTTGATCCTTTTCCTGTTTGCTAGATCTACTGTTCTCATGCTTTGAGTGGAAGTAAGTTTTCGTTGAGCTGGTGGTGTTTATGGAATGGTCCCTGTTTTCTTGTACAATGATTACTATGTGGAGTATTAGGGTGGTACCTGCTCTGTTTGATAAACCGTTCGCCTTAATTTACAATGATTTTGCTGTCTGTCTTTGCATTACTGAAATTCAACAAAATTACAATAAGAGGGATCTTATTATATAGTCATTTTCTCCATGAGTTGCTTATGCTTATAGTATCTTTCCTTTACGAGTTGCTTACTATGATTATGGTGTTTGTTATTATTATTTTATAGTTAAGAGATGGCCGATTCTGAGGATATTCAGCCCCTTGTTTGCGATAATGGAACTGGAATGGTTAAGGTTTGTATCATTTCATCCCTTTATACTTAATTCACTGGAGTGCAAATTATTACTATGCTTTGATCTCTTATAAGAATATTACTCGTACAGGCTGGTTTTGCTGGTGACGATGCCCCAAGAGCTGTGTTCCCTAGTATTGTAGGTCGTCCACGACACACTGGTGTTATGGTTGGAATGGGTCAGAAAGACGCATATGTGGGTGACGAAGCTCAATCTAAAAGAGGTATCTTGACCTTGAAGTACCCTATAGAACATGGTATAGTCAGCAACTGGGATGATATGGAGAAGATCTGGCATCACACTTTCTATAATGAGCTTCGTGTTGCACCTGAGGAACACCCTGTGCTTCTTACCGAGGCACCTCTTAATCCCAAGGCCAATAGGGAGAAGATGACACAAATCATGTTTGAAACATTTAATGTTCCTGCAATGTATGTTGCCATTCAGGCTGTTCTTTCTCTCTACGCCAGTGGTCGTACAACTGGTTAGTTAGCTAATTCTCTTCTATTTCTAATTGTTTTATCTCGAGTGAGTTCTACTGTGCTCTGTTTTGACATTAATTTGTTTTCCTTGTAGGTATTGTGTTGGATTCTGGTGATGGTGTTAGTCACACTGTGCCTATCTATGAAGGGTATGCTCTTCCTCATGCCATCCTTCGTCTTGACCTTGCTGGTCGTGATCTTACAGATCACCTCATGAAGATTCTGACCGAGAGAGGATACATGTTCACCACCTCGGCTGAACGGGAAATTGTCCGTGATATCAAGGAAAAGCTTGCTTATGTGGCTTTGGACTTCGAGCAGGAGCTAGAGACTGCAAAGAGCAGCTCCTCTCTTGAGAAGAACTATGAATTGCCTGATGGACAAGTTATCACAATTGGGAATGAGAGATTCCGTTGCCCTGAGGTTCTTTTCCAGCCTTCTATCATTGGAATGGAAGCTGCTGGTATCCATGAGACTACCTACAATTCCATCATGAAATGTGACGTGGATATCAGGAAGGATCTCTATGGTAACATTGTTCTCAGTGGGGGTTCAACTATGTTCCCTGGTATTGCTGACCGTATGAGCAAGGAAATCACTGCCCTAGCTCCCAGCAGCATGAAGATCAAGGTGGTTGCACCTCCAGAGAGGAAATACAGTGTCTGGATTGGAGGATCAATCCTTGCATCCCTCAGCACCTTCCAACAGGTAATGTCCAGGCCTTTTATGTTAAGCACGCACTTAGAAAACTTTATTTTAATTTATTAGAGTTTATATTAAACATGGTTGCTTCTTATATGTGCAGATGTGGATTTCCAAGGCTGAGTACGAAGAATCTGGACCATCAATTGTCCACAGAAAATGCTTTTAAGCTTGTCAGTATTGTTTGGGATGGTGAGTCTTCTTCCCCTTATCCTCCCTGTATTTTGTGTTCTTTTTACATCTCTAGTATGAGTCTGAACAAATGCTTCTTGTGCAATTCCTTGTGCAGTTTGCATTTTTGACGCTGAAATGGATGCTGAGATGCAGTGGCCCTTCCTAATATCTTCCTCCTATGGTTTTGAACCCTATCATTTTAGTAGGTTGCTTGTAGTTGGAGAGTGATTTCGATGCTTTCTTCTTTCTCTTTTCGCTTTTTTTCCTCTTTCCCTATTTCACCCCTTCTGGTTTTGGTATTTGGAATTTTCAATCTGGAAACAGTTTTATGTTAATATTTATTTGTATCGAGGGAATATTTTTATATTAGTGTCAGTTTGCAGAAATTATTTTTAAATTCTGGGATTGAATGTTTCAAAGCAAGTGCAACTTCTGAGTGGACAGAAAAATATTCAAAATTTCTGAAATTTGAATAGGTCTGGCGGCTCTTTCATTTCAAATCTCGTGGGCAACTTTGATTGAAGTATTGCTTTCAGTTGGTCTGTCTTATGTAATATTGTTCCTGTCTTTATCATATGATGATGATTCTTTACATATTTGGAAGGCTGGCATGTCTTCATCATCTCAGATTATGGTAGGGAATTAAGCCCTTATCCATCGTCATCTACTTTACCTTGTTTTTTGGCTTTTTTTTGCCCTGTATTTCAATTTGGTTTGATTCTTTGTTTCTTGCAATATTCCGGATTACACGAGTTTTGGATGGTTCCCAATTTCAGTTCCAGTGTTGGCAATTTTTTGTGGTTCATGATTTTTGCATTAGGGATGAGGGAAAACCAGCCACGATTTATGCAAGTTTTCCGAATTCATAAGTGAAGAAATGCAGGCAAAAATCATTACCATACATAATAACAACAATAAAGACCAAGACAAATTTAGCGACATACTCCCTCGTGTTATTTTTCCCTTCACTTATGGTACATGTTAAAATTAAAAATAACTAGGACCGGGTATCACTTAGTTTGTAGATGAATAAAAATGAATAAATGACGTACATGTTAAAATGAAAATTAACATAAAATAGTAACTAGGACCAGGCATTACTTAGTAGGTAGATGAATAAAAATGAATAAATGATGTATTGTGAATATTAAAATAAAAGACACTAACTAGGACCGGGCGTTACTTAGTAGGTAGATGAATAAAAATGAATAAATGACGTATTGATGTGCTATACCAAAATTTAAACTGTCTAACATTTTTTGTTAGTGAGCAATGAAATTGACCCATGGTTATGACTTATGACAATCTTCCTGCTGTTACATAGTTTGACTGAAATTAAGAAAACTGTGAGGAAAGTGCTTTTATGATTTGCATGTTTCAGAAAACCTTGATAAGTTCATTTGAGTTTTTTTATTTTCTTTCTATGTATATTAAATCTATCTCCAAGTGTTGCTCAATTTAAACATAGATTATAAAAATTAGTCCCTTTATAAAAAAAAATAGAACAAAATAGAAGGTGTATAAAAAATACATACAATATAAGTATAAAAGTTGACGATTATCTATGTGGTAATTAAATTGATTCTCTATTTTTTGGAAGAGAAACATGATTTTTTTTTTGAAGGACTTTTAGGGGAATCCCTAGGTATAATTTTTATGGCACAATTAAATGTATGTATCTTTAGGTTTTTCTGAAGTTTGTAGACAAAAATAAAAATTTTTAAAAAATCTTAGATTAAAATTAAGGTACAATTCGAACAATATCATTATGTTCTTACTTTTTCATTAAAAAAAAAATTAATAAAATAGTCTTGGATATTCTAACATAACTAATCATAATCAAATAATAACATGATATGTATATCTTTTTTTTAAATGAAAAATGAAATTAAAATGAAGTAGTTATAATTAAGGTTTTAATTTTGTCAATAGTAGTGTGAATATCATCGTTGGACAATCTTTGCTTTAAATTTCATATGATCAAAATCCGCATTTCTTTAATTATTTGAATAGTTGACTTAATTAATAAAGTATTAATGTATTATCTGATGAAATATAATAACTATTTACATTTTTTTTTTACACTTTTGAAAGACAAATAGAGGGATAACATGTGGCCCAATAACCCTCAAAACTATTCCTGAATGACTTGAAAACTCTATTTTTTGTTATATATAATATTGAAAAAAATTCACTTACTAACAACCCAACTTTATAGAATGAGCTGAAAAGGTTAGATGAATCTAATTTTATCATCTTTACCATTTTATTTAGGGTTGATAAAACATGTAACTTCATAGGACTGAGTGAAAAACCCCACTCTAAGATCGGGGTAAAGAAGCATTTTTTTCATATGGTACATAGCAAAATAGTATGCCAAACAGGGGGAAAAATTGGCCGATCTACCTTAACCTTTACATGTGTTGTCAATTTTACCCTATTTTTTTTCGATTAGCCAATATTATCCTAAGTTATTCAACTGTTAGCCGATTTTGTCTAATTCGTCAATTTTCGTTTAAATTAACGGATTTTCTGTTAGTTTTAATTATGAAAATATCCTAATAGTTTTAAAAATTATAAAAATAACCCTAAAAATTTGTAAAAATAACAAAATAGTCTCTTTTCACTTTTTATTTAATTTCTTTTTTGTTTCATATTTTTTTACTATTTTTTATAACTATAAAAATATACTATATGATCTTTTAGAATAAAATTTTATTTTTAAACAATACTGCACAAATTTATAGATATACATATTTGTAATTCATGGTTGATTTACATAAACATATTAATTTTTTTTAATATTATAGCTAGAAAATAATGATATTATTTTTTTAATTCCTTTTTTTTGAATTTAAAGAATAAGATTTTTTTTTACTAAAACTAATTTTTTTGATTTTTTTACAAAAAAAATTAAAAAATTCAGCATAGATTAAAAATTAATCGGCCAAATTTTCTGTTTCATGAGAGTAGATATAAGATTAAGTCTCACCAAAGGATTTCTAACCGGGAGAGTGATTTTATCCATATTTAAACGGGGTCTACTAAAGGCGAGAGGGTTAGATGGTCATGTGATTTAGGATGTGAGATAAAATTACTGTGTTCGATGTCTCGATTCTCACTGGGGCAATCTAATTTTTCTTTTTTTTTTAAAAAAAAGGTGGAGTCCAGTACTGGAATAGATTTTCTTTATATTATTTTTTCTTTAAAAAAAAAGACATTCTGCTAAAGTTAGATATATTAGTATCTCAAAAAATTATCGTAAAATGTTAAACCCTCGCAATGATAAATATAAATATTTTTTTATAGAATATTTTGTACCATGTTTGTAAATGCCATGAGACTATGTTATTTTGTTGGGCCAATGTAGAAATGAAATAGGTTTTTTTTTTTTTTTACTTTCTTTTCGTACTTGGCCTTTTACAGAAAAATTTATATTTTAGTTTTAATTATTTTTTAAATTTTATTATACAATCTAAAGTCTGTTGAATTAAATTGTAATACATTTAAGTAAACCAATAACTTCTTTTTTAATCTATGCTAAATCTGTTATTTTTTTGTGCAAAATTAGTTTTCGTTAAATAATCTTATTCTTTAGATTCAAAAAAATGGATTTAAAAAATAATATCATTACCGTTAAATCATATTATTAAAAAAAAATGTTTATGTAAATTAAACATGACTTACAAATATCAAATTATAAATTTGTACATTAGAGTTTAAAAATAAATAGTTTTTTTTAAAAGATCATATAGTATATTTTTATAGTTATAAAAATATTAAAAAGAAATAAAAAACAAAAAAAATTAAACAAAAACTGAAAAGAGACTGTTTTGTTATTTTTGTAAATTTTTGAGGTCATTTTTATAATTTTTAAAATTATTAGGGTATTTTTATAATTAAAACAAATAGAATTCTGTCAATTTAAATGGAAAAGAGAAAATTGGAGAAAATCGGCTAAAGGTTGGATAGCTTAGGGTAATATTAACTAATAAAAAAAGAATAGAGTAGAATTGACAACGCATATAAAACTTAGGGTAAATTAGCCAATTTTTCCGCGAGGGTGTTCCCAGCTTTAAAACCTCCCAACAACTTCTCTGGGGTTACAGAGGTATTTTCTCGGGTGCAAATCTCCTTAGGAATAATGTCAAATGGAAGGTGGTATTAGGAATGAATGTAAACATTGCATATGATTAGATCCCAAATCACATCAATCCTATCTAGCCGAATTTCTTTCTAATTACTCACTCTAATTTAAGGGTCAAAGATCTGATTCTAGGGGACGGATAGTGAAAATTGCCATTTATCAGAACTCTAATTCCGGAGACCATAATTTCTCATATTACAGGAATTTTTATTGATCCATCGAGAAGTCAACAGAAGGAAAAACTCCAATGGACAAAGGAGAAGCTCGCGAGTTACACGGTTAAATCTGACTACCATGAACCTATAAGCATATACAATGCTCCACTAGTAAATTCCAATCAACCCCAACCCAATATTACACGTTGGTCTGGGAAAAATTGTGAAATTTCCAAGTTCAACCGAAACAAAAGTTGCTTTTGTGGAGACCTCTCAATGCATTGCCTATTATGTCTAGTCTTTACAAGAGGGAGTTGTCTCTAATATTAGATATCGTAGATGTATGGCCATGGAGGAGGACAATTTGCACCTATTCCTCAGTTGTCCATAATCTCAAGCAATCTGGGGTTTAACATATCTGACTTTCACCCAAGTCTTTAATAATTTGTTGGATTGGTTCACACAATGGGTACAATCTACCCCGACACCTTTGGACTTGGACCTCTTTCTTGTGACTTGCTGGTGAATTTGGCTAGGGAAAAATGACAATGTGTGTCGAAATCAACTGAATGACCCCTATATTCAGTGTTGGCAAATTCAAATGATTTATTTATCCATAAACAACGTCATCAAAGACATAGGAGGACCATTCAAGGTGCTACCCAATCAGGGAAGAAGAAGAAGATGATAGCC